AATATATCATTATTTTAATTCTGAATGATATTCTGCCTGAGAAAAGCTCCTGGCATATTCTAGGCAGAGATGGGGAGACATAGGTGGGCTTGCATACTCATTCAGAGCTCAGGTGACTGGGCACTGTGGTCCTCTATACCAGCTGGACAAATGGCATCTGAGATAGGACCATCAAGCTCGGAACTATTGTTTTCAATAGTTGGGGTTTCAGTGAAAACCCCAATAAGTTTTCACTAGGACATATTTAATTTGATAGTTATATATCAAATATATAATTTGATAGTTATATATATTGTAAAATAGTTTAGCGCTTATGTCATTACTATCCAGTTAAAAATTTAAAATACTTTATTATTTAGTGAGACTGACAAGTGGCACATGAATTGGCATTCTCCCCTCCAGGAGAAGCACAGCTAACTTTTCATAGAAAAATAATTGGAATCCATTTTTAATTATTTCTAGGGAATAATTCCAAGAATTCTTTTTATTTTATTTTTTTTATTATTTTTTTTCAACTTTTCAAATGTTTTATTCTATTTTATACATCTTCACTTTGGCTCAGGCAGGGAAGATGAATTATGAGGTTTACAAGCTTGTCCGCATCAAGAATTCTTTTTAGCCAATTCCTTTTTATTCAAGAAGGCTTTTTAATGTGTAACTGATGATGTTCTTAAAGTATTTTATTCACATTCTTCTCTTAATCAGTGTTAACATTTACAACTTATAATCAGTATCTGAGTAAATATCCTAAGACATAAGAGTAACCAGAGCACATTAAACTCCAACCAAATTTCAAAATTGTAAAACTGAGCATTCTTTTAAATATTATTTCAGAACTTTTTAGTGCTGAAATTACTCATTTTACTTTATGTTCATCAGGCCAGACTGAAATTCTTGCATCACAGTCTATCCATTTTATTTGTTTGTTTGTTTGATACAGTCTTGCTACACAGTTCAGACTCAGTGATTCTCCTGTCTCAGCCTCACCAGTCCTGGGATTATAGGCATGTGCCACCATTCCTGGTTTGGGAGCTGTCACGGAGTGCTGTACTGGGAATTGAACCCAGGTCCTTGTGTTTGCCACGTAGGCACTTAGACTGCCAAGCTATCGCCCATCCATATAAAAAGAACATTTAAGAGTTTGAATATAAGAGCACCTGCTAAATGCATTCACAAAGAGGATCTTCTATACAAACAAGAGCGACTCTCATTTATTGGCCAGCATCCCCCACAAATAGTGATATTTGTGTGAGTGTAAACACACAAACACACACACACAGTAGAGTTTTGCTTTCGTTCAAAACTAGTGCCATCAAAAGAAAAAGTTGCTAGCTTCTTTATCTTATCCAATGATGTGTGATTGGCTGGAACTTTTGGGGTATGTGTAGCAGTTTAGGGTATACAAGATTAGCAAGTGACAGGGATGATTATGTATTGGTGGCATGCTTCGCTGTAACTTTACTGAAAATGGCAGGTATCAAGTCCCTGTGTGAGTAAGCATCCTAATAACTCTCAGCACTGAGCATATGATCAGCCCCTCCAAGGACAGGAGCAGGTGTTCCTATTTGCATTTTATCAAGAAAGGTACACTTGCCGACTCACCCACATGTCAATGACTGCTGCCTAATTGGACCAGGTGTTCAATGCAGAGGGCAAGTTTTTGCTTCCTGGGCTATCACAGACTAAAAAAAAAAAAAGCAAACATCGAGATGAATAGCAAATTCTAAGGCCTACGAAAAGTTAAAAAGCAGTCTTATGTAGGGGCACTTGGGCACTGCTTTAGACAGTGTAATGAGGATGATAGTTTTTACTTCATGCCAAAGAAAAAGATTTCTCCTTACTGCTATACATGAATTTGTAGTCAAACATTACAAAACGTTGGTTATTTTTGTAGGTTAATCTTCGTACTCCCTTCTTAAAAGGAAAGCAACACTTCACTCCTGCCCACTCACCTAACCCTTGGACTTCTATGAAAACCAATTTTAATTCCAGGGCCTGACAGTTGAGGCAGACCCATCAGAACAGTCCATGGCTGAGTCACAGAAATTCCATTAGGCAGAAGACCTAAATCCACTTAGTGAATGCCACAGTAGAGACTTTTCATGAGAGCTATACACATCTGTTCAGGTTATACATGGAAGAGAGGCATTATATCTGAAGGGTATCATACATATCAAAATATTTTCATAAATTAAGAATGTGGGTACATTTCTGTAAACCCATAACTGAAGGTAGATGAGGAGAAAGATTGTAAGCTCAAGCATAGTTGAGCAATTCAGTAAATTAATGAGACCAGGAAGCAAAACAAAATTTTTTTGAAAGAGCTGGAAATGTAACTCAGTAGGAAGGCCCTGGGTTCAGTCACTAATATCCTCAAAACAAAACAAAAGAAAAATTCTGTTCATTTGTTTGACACTTTTTATTTTTTTATACATTTGTCAACACCAGAATAGGTGAAAGATATTTACTTGAATAATTTTTTAGTGCAGATTATGGTAACATGTAAGGTTCCATGAAAATTAGTGTATTAGGACAATTTTCCAAAAGAAAGTAAAAACCATTATTCTAGCAAGTTTTATGTAGATCCTTATGCTTTGATTTGAGAAGGGTATGTATGTTTAAGAGTCAATAGACCACATAATTAGCATCATAAAAGATAGCATGTGATTCTAAGCCCAGAGTTTCAAAAGCAGATTCTGGATGTAAGCCAATGATACACCCTAAAAACTATTTGCTTTCAAATATGCAGATTCTGGAAGGTGAGACCTTACTGTAAAAATATTCTACTTTCAAATGTACTTACTTGGCATGATGTTATGAGGAATATTTATGATGTATGTTATCAGCAACATGATGAGCAACCACATGTAACAGTAAAAGCAAAATGTGTTTTAAAAAATGAAGTAATTTTTTTTTTTTAAAGAGAAAAATTTTTTTATTGGAATATAAAATGCACTTATAAAACGTCCACAGAAGGCATGTAACTTTTGACTGCTATAAATTTATTGGGAATATGTTATTCACCATCTACTGCCACCTAAAACATAATATAAACAATGAGTTATATTCTAAAACAAATGCATCACTGATTCTCAGCAATCATTGGTTCAATAATAATTAGTTTAAGATTATA